CTTTTGGGATTCTTTAACGCTGAAACATTTTGGTCTGTAGCAGATGATGCAATTGTAAGTAGGGTCACATTCAAGGTATAGGGCCTATTGCTTTATGGAAACAATTAGAAATGACCTGCCAATTATGCGCTCTCTTTCTCCCCCCATATCCAGGGGGAGAAAGGAAGAACAGGGAATAAGCAGAAATAATTGCTCATATTTTGCCTTTTTCTCTCATTGTGGTGAAGAGGGGGCAGTTGAAAGCATATTAGTGTATTTGTGATGGGCCAAAAAAAGTAATCTCCAGGTAGCAGGTTTCTTTTCCTTCCAAGAAAAAGAATATCTTTGCTGGTGTAGTAGTTGTTGTTTTAGAATGGTAGGGATACCAGAGAGAGTACGGGATACTTGGAAAGAAAAGCATATCTGTTTTTCTGTGGATGTCCTGTAGGAGTCAAAACAGAGAAAGGACACAAAGGCTTTATAAAGCAAAATTTTGGATCAATTGGAAGTTATAGTCATGGAACCCACAAGAACAGCCTGAATAACCTTTCTGTGGGCTTCGGAGATCATGAATTTCCCAACAGATAATGCCTCAGCATTGGGTGGGAAGCTGTGATGAACGTTTGAGTGAGAAAATATGTGTCTGAGTTAGAGCATCTGCTTTCATTACTTAGTTTTCAAGAGGACATTATGAGTCAAGTAAATGAGTGGGTTTTATCCTGGAAAAGATCCAGGGGAAATTAGATCTTCTTAAGAAGATAAAGGAAAGCAGATTTCAGCATTTCTGAGGAGGGAGTTGTGGGCGAGATTGAGTGGAATGAGGACTCGCCCCGTTGGTGCGTGGTGAGTTCTGTTCCTTGGGGGACAGTGCGTCTTCCCTCAGCAGCATAGTGACTCATTCAGGGTTCAAGATTAACCCATTTTAAGTCTTCCGATTAAAACTTTCCATATGAGGGGCCCTAAGAGAATGTGTCTGCCTCAGATAGCTGTGCTTAATGGGGATTGCCTGGCTTGAGAGCCACACCAGACATTCACAAAAGCCTGCAAGAAATGGCATAGTGGGAATGTGGAGAACTGGAGGGAACTGGACTCAGGAGTGGAACTACAGATTTAAAGTTTAGGAAGAGTCTCCATAATGAGATTACATCTCAGAGGCAAGTGACTTCATTCACAATTCGTAACCCTTCTATCTTTAGGAGAAGAGGAGATTTGTATACTTTTCAAAGAGTCCATACCTTTCTAGAGCTTGAAAAAAAATTAAACATAGAACCTAGTGCAATAGTGATGAAGAAGGTATGTGTGAACATACATAGTGCAAATGTGTCACACAACAGAGACAATCAGGCTAATTTCTATGCCCTCTATTCAGGGGCTGATGCTAAGGATGGAGGCATGGGGTGGAGTGGAGAAAGAGGGGGAAATGGGATACATCTGGATAATCCTGATAAAAGGCTGTTTGGTTTGGTTTTTACTTTGAATGCCTGTTACAGTCTCTGGGGACTTCATACTATCAGTAACTTCTTGTATTTGCTAAAGTCAGTGTCCTTTCCTGGATGCTATTTCCTTCCCTACATGTCTTTGTATCTTTGGGCAATAACATTTACACAACCAGATTAGGTCTCCTGGCTTTCTGCTTACTGTTTCCTATGAAAATCCCTGTACACAACATTTGTCATCAAAGCCACTCTGAGGAATTCCACAAAGTGAAATTAAGGTTCTTTCATTCTCATTTTACTAGACCCTTCTTCCCAATATTACCTTCTCCTCACATCTTTCAGGGAGCCCAATCACAGCTCTTCTCCTCTGACAGACCTCACCCCTCAGCCATCCTCTTCTTGGCCTCATCTAGATACGTAAGTTCTGTGGTCTTTGCCCTCACTGCCTTGTTAGTTTTATTTAATCTTATCCAATAAATAAAATTAAGATGCAATCAACTGATCAAGGCCTTTGGATCAATTTGCCTTTCTATGTAATTTTTTATTTACATGGGCTTGGAGACCTTGTGTTAGGGCCAGTAGGATAGGAGCATCCTTTGTTTCCCTCCCCATTGTCAGTTTAACTATGAGGGGCATTAGGTTTCTACTGAGAGTCCAGGAGATTGTGTAAGGCCCAAAACCAGTGCTTTCTTTTTTAAAAAATAGTATTTATTTATCTATTTATCTATTTATTTATTTATATTTTAATTGTTCCAGTACAGCTTTCTGCCTTTTACTCCCATTTCAGCTCAACCCCCAAGCCCTCCCCACCTCCCTCCCATTTCCACTCCCCCTAGTTTTTGTCCATGTGTCCTTATACTTGTTCTTGCACACCCTTCCCCTTTTCCCCTGAAATTCCCTCCCCTCTACCCTCTGGTCACTGTCAGCCTGTTCTCAACTTCAGTGTCTTTGGTTGTATTTTGCTTGTTTGTTTGTTTGTTGATTAGATTGCTGTTAAAAGGTGAGACTATATGGTATTTGTCTTTCATTGTCTGGCTTATTTCACTTAGCATAATGCTCCCCAGTTCCATCCATGCTGTTGCAAAGGGTAGGAGCTCCTTCTTTCTTTCTGCTGCATAGAATTCCATTGTATAAACGTACCATAGTTTTTGGATCCATTCATTTACTAATGGACACCTAGGTTGCTTCCAACACTTGGCTATTGTAAATAGTGCTGCTATGAACATTGGGGTGCACAAATTCTTTTGGATTGGTGTTTCAGGATTCTTAGGATATAATCCTAGCAGTGGAATTGCTGGGTCAAAAAAGCAGATCCATTTTTAGTTTTCCGAGAGAATTCCATGCTGTTTTCCATAGTGGTTGTACAAGTCTGCATTCCCACCAACAGTGCACTAGGGTTCCCTTTTCTCCACAACCTCTCCAACACTTGTTTGTTGCTTTGTTTATGATGGCCATTCTGACTGGTGTGAAGTGGTATCTCATTGTGGTTTTAATTTGCATCTCTCTGATAGCTAGCAATACTGGGCATCTTTTTATGTGTCTCTGGATCCTCCATATGTCCTCCTTGGAGAAGTGTCTGTTCAAGCCCTTTGCCCATTTTTTAATTGGGTCGCTTGTCTTCTTAGAGTGGAGTCATGTGAGTTTGTTATATATTTTGGATATTAAACTCTTGTCTGAGGTTATCATTGGCAAATATGTTTTCCCATATGGTTGGTTCTCTTTCACTTTAATACTGTTTTCTTTAGCCATGCAGAAGCTTTTTATTTTGATGAGATCTCATTCATTTATTCTTTCTTTTATGTCCCTTGCTCTAGGGGACATATCAGTAAAAATGTTGCTATGTGAAATATCTGAGATTTTTCTGCCTATGTTCTCCTCTAGGACTTTAATATTGTCATGGCTTATATTTAAATCTTTTATCCACCTTGAATTTATTTTTGTGTATGGTATAAGTGGGTGCTCAAATTTCAGTTTTTTGCATGTACCTGTCCAGCTGTCCCAACACCATTTGTTGAGGAGACTATTTTTACTCCATTTTATGTTTCTGCTCCCTTTGTTGAATATTAATTGACCGTAGAGACTTGGGTTTATTTCTGGGCTCTCTGTTCTGTCCAGAAATCAAAGGCATTTTTGTATACCAACAATGAAACAGCAGATGCAGAAATCAAGAAAAAAATCCTTTTTGATATAGCAAGAAAAAAAATAAAACACCTAGGAATAAACCTAACCAAGGAGGTAAAAGACCTGTATGCAGAAAACTACACAACACTGAAGAAAGACATCAAAGAAGACACAAACAAATGGAAACATATACTGTGTTCATAGATCAGAAGAATTAACATCATCAAAATGTCCATACTTCCCAAAGCAATTTACAGATTCAATGCAATACTTATTAAAGTACCAATGGCATATTTCATAGACATAGAACAAACACTTCAAAAATTTATATGGAACCATAAAGAACCCCGAATAGCCACTGCAATTTTGAGAAAGAAGAGCAAAGTAGAGGGGATCACAATAGCTGATACCAAACTGTATTACAAGGCCACTGTAATAAAAACAGCCTGGTACTGGCATAAAAACAGGCACATAGACCAATGGAACAGAACAGAGAGCCCAGAAATAAATAGTCTTTTAAAACTTCCTCCAGAATAATGCTATTTCAGTGCCTGTGGTCTTACACAAGCCTAGTATTAGGCTTAATAGAAAGTAAATAGTGAATCTAAGTAAAATTACTCTGTAAGCATCCAGCTCTCCAAAATATGAACTTTCAATGACCTCTTCATATTTTTGGTGTTTTGTTTGAATTTTTTTATGGATTCTACTTTTGAAAACCCTGAGTGTGTTGTAGATAAACATGCTGTCTGGAAAACTGACTTTAAAGAAATCTCATGCAAAAAGCTTTGCTTCTGATGGGATGCATGATCCAATAAATTTGCAAAATGCTGTGGATGCTACCTAAATTTTGAGGATTTTCAATGTGCATTTATGTAAGAAAGGCCCTGAGAAGTCCTGTAGTGACAACGCCTGTTGGAATTCTTTTGTGTACAACATTACATGGAACTAGGTTTACAATGAACATGATTGTGAAGGGTGGGGCAGGGAAGAAGGCTCTAGACTGCTGCTTGTACCCTAATTACTTTAGTAGGAAAGAAGGGAGATAATTTGTGTTGGAAGATAAGGCATGCTTGTAAACTCAACCACTAAAAAAAATTCATTTATTTACTCACTAAAGATTCATTACACACTAACCATGTAGACAAGACTGAATCAGGAGTTGTGGCGCTCCTCTAAAAAAAAGGACTGATCTTTGTCTGGAGGTGTTTATGGGCATGTAATCACACACATAGATGATTAAAATACTCTAAATTGCACATATCTGACTGAAGCAATGATCAGTGGTGAAGAGATGTCTTCCAGTGGTTAAGTCTTGACTTAGACTTTGAAGAATACTAGTTGATGATTACCACCTTAGCTAAATCACATTTTACACAGCTGTCCAGACTCAGTAAATGAACAACCACACAAAAACATTACTTCAAAGGCCTTTCATTCTGTTAAAGCCTTGAGCTGAAGGTAATGTTTTCTTTCTGAGATACTGAGGAGAGAAAACGGGGCTTGACCTCCAAAAACTTCATTTTGAATCCTGCCTCTGTCTTGTATACCTGTGGTTGGCTACATACATGTCACTATGGAGGCAGAGACACTGAGGATCCAGGTATTATTATTTGCCTAGAATGACTCTGGGAGGGTACTGAGAGACAGAATGAAAAGAGTTGTGTGCTTTATAAAGTGTAAAATTCTATATAGATGTTAGCTATTATTTCTATTATGTTATTCTTGTTATTTTTGGACTAATCAAAATAATTAACCAATATGCAAGGCATTGTCTTAAATGCTTTCCATTTGTTTTCTCCCTTAATCTGTACAACCTTAAGTGTTAGATACTCTAATTATTCCATTTCACAGATGAGAAAACCAAGGCTTACAGAATTAAAATCATGGGTTTTAGTAAAACACCTCCAAATTTTTAGTGTGCTAGATCTGTGCCATATTCAGCGACTTTGGAGTTCATTCTTTCACTCAACTAATATAGTACTATTAAGCACCAAGCACATGCTGTGTCTTGTTTAAAGTTCCGTGTATGTAGTAGTGAACAAAATGGAGTAAAATTTCTGTCCTTGTGAAATTTAAATTCTAGTGAAGAAGAGAGATAATAGGCATAAATATAAAAACTATGTAGAATGTTAGAAGGTAACTGAGAGTGTGAGGAGAGGGGGCGAAATACAGTTTTAAATAGGTTGGACAGGATTGCCTGTTGAGATGGTGACGGTTGAGTAGAGATTTGAAAAAGGTGAGAGAATGAGTCACAGGAACATTAGAGAGAAGAGTGTTCTGGTCAGAGGGGACAAACAGTACAAAGGTCAGGGGTGTGAATATCCTGGGTATGTCTGAGAAACAGTGTGCCCAGTAGGACTGGAGAAAAGAGAGCAAGGCACAGGGTAAGAAATGGGTCTGAGAGGCCCGGGTGTGTAGGTCCTGTGGGTCACTGCCAGGGCTCTGGCTTGCACTGTTCATAGCATGAGAGACAGGGGAGGGTTTTGAGTGGAGGAGTGGCATAATCCAATGTATATTTTAGAGGATCACTTTAACCATTTTGTTGAGAACACACTGTAGGGGTTAAAGGTGGAAGCAGGGAAATCAAAAACTGCTCATTCCTGATACAAAATGAAGTGAATTAGAAAGTGCTTCCAAATCTCATTTGGTGTACATTAAACTCGGTTAGTTCATTTTCCATATAGCAAAATGAGCAAGCTGGGGAGGCCTGTTTGAACACCTATTTATCTTGGCCAAATACTTTCTTCTAGCATCTTGAAGTCATTTATTTGGCCATGTTGGTGCTATAACCAAAATGAGTTTTTCTATAATAGTGACATAAATCCTGGAATTCCAATAGAAGATTGGATTAAATAGGACTTTTTTTTTTGGTGGGTGGTATATTCCAACTACTTCTTATCAAAACCAGTATAATTTCTAGTATAGACTGGGTAGTTATGTGAAAATATCATCTATACAAGTTCTGTCTGAGGGTAGAAATATAGATTAATTATGGAATATCATTAAAAGCAACATCATTTACTATGCAAGATTAGGAACAGAACCATGATGTTTTGAAAACAAGACATGGCATACTGACACAGTGGAAATTTGAATTCATTTTGAATAACTATTGATATTATTATCCAGTTCCTAGATTTCAGATCCACACAATTGAACCTAGATGGGAAATTTGATGCTGTTTTTCTTACTGAGGTGATAGAACTAGAAATCACATAAACTTTAGTAAGTTTATTTATGGATATTCAAATAACTTTATGAACCATGCTTGGGTTAATGATAGGGCAGAAATGCTATTAAAGCAGAATACTATTAGTTAATCCACTGGTGATATGCATTAGTGATACTTGAAAAGCTATACAGTAATGGGAACTTTTGTAGTTTTAGTTTATCCATCTACGAAGATTTGTAGGTATTTTATATGAACTTATGATTCCCCCATCCACTCACAGTGAATGACTCAGATCTCTTGAAGCTACCAGAAGACGTGCTCAAGAAGGCTTTCTGTTAATGGAACATGACTGGCTTGTTTTCTTTCAAAATGCAGTACAGTTACCTTGAAATTTCAAGTCTACCGTGTGGCCAAGAAGCACCCTCAGTTGAAATACAGATTATATAGTTTATTGGAAATGAGAATCATATTTTCTGTATTTACTCAAGGGTTCATGATTGGGAAAAGAGGGTGGCAAAGAGAGAAGACTGTTCAAGAAATTATTGGATTAATCTGAGGTCCTTCCCCTTGATATCAGATTAATCTTTTGCCAACAATTGACCAAGGCATTTATAGATGATGTGCTCAGACAATGACAATGAATTACCTTTCAGAAATATCTGTGGTGCTCATCTCTATAGCACTTACACTAAAAAATTGGAATGATAGAGAGATTAGCATAATCCTGCTTAAAAACAGCATGCACATTGATGCAGTATTTTATATTTTTAAAATTAAACTTATTCTGGTAATCATTAACTCATATACCTTAAACTTATACAATGTCATCTCAGTAAAACTGGGAACATGAGAAATATTTGTGTTTGGATGCTGGAAAGAGGGCCAAAGGTTAGATAAGGCAGTACCGTCTTTTGAGACTGTAATCAGGAATTTAGCAAGAAATTGAAGATGGAGAATACTGTATTAAACATATATGTAGTTACCTGAAATCCAGCATCATTTTAAAACAAAGTGGTTAAGAGGGTATACATGTTAGTATTCTATTGCCATCTCTGCCACCACAAATCTACAGCCTACTATTTTCCTACCATACGTTTCCTAATGATGCTTCTGTTGATAGAAAGCCCCAGTCATTTTTTATTAATGGATGCTGTGACTTCTTCCCACTCTCTTTCCATTGGCACAGCATTTACTGATTAAGGATGCTGGGTGAGTCAGAATATTCCTTGCATAATGATTGGTTACTTGGAATGGGTACCAGCTCTTCCTTTGTGATAAAGAACAGTGTATATAAATAAGGGTAAGAGATTTTCTTGATGTTCAAGGTCTTTGGTCTCTGAGTTACAGACTATAAATTTCCTGGGCCACATTCTAGATGCAGAACTTCCGCTGAAGTCAACAGAAGTTTTATAAAAAAAAATAATGGCAGGAAAATGCACTATTATTATTTATTACCATTTCCTTTTGACTGTTCTGAAGATAATTTGGTACATAAAGTATTGTGGAAGTTTTGAGTTTTTCCAGCGACTCATTTTCATGCAAATGTTTATCACATTTCTGTGTATTGTTTTCTTCTATCATATATATTTCCATCTTCCATGAGTAAATCAACATCTTCTTCCATAGTGCACTTTCAGTGGTTGTAAATTCAGTCTGTATTCTCATTAAATGTTACGAATATGTGATTTTCATTTATGATTTTAGTGGGTGTTTCTGAAATTTCTACAGCAGCATCTGGCCACTAAATATTGTCTGTGTATTAGAATTACAGCACCTAATTTCATTTTTCTTCTGTGTACTACTTTCTCTAATCCTTTCCTAGTAAACAGGAGGCAATTTGGATTCTTTTCTATCCTAATTCTCAGAGACCCTCCTCATATACAGACTAGGTTTGATTTTGCTTTTCCTCCTATGCATGGTTCTGGATACAATGGGAGCAAGTCTTGAGTGCCCTCCCTTTCCTCACTGCTAACATCATACATAAGCCACTAACCTGGTTTAATCAGACCAGGCCATGTGGCTCCTAAGAGGTTTTTCACTATGTTCAGCTTCAGTCCTAATCTCTCAATGCTGCTGTTAGAATGATATTTTAAAAATGCAGAGATGATTCTTCCTCTCCCTGTTTAAAACAGTTTGGATTGTCCTTAGGATAAAGACCAAATTCTTCAACATAGCTCATGGATCTCTACATACTCTGGTCCCTGCTTGCCTTTCCAGACAATTGATCTACCATCTCTCTTACTCTGTGCTCTAACCACAGGGACCTGCTTTCACATGGACACATCACCACTCTCTTTCATGCTCTTCCCTTTTCCTGGACCACTCTTCTATTTCACATTCTCCTGAATATTATCTACTCCTTCTCCAAGTCTCTACTTGAATTCCCCTCTTATGAGTGATTCCTACTACTGTTATTCCTACTACTTGCATTTCTACAGGATCCTGCACTTGACCTTTTAAAATAGTCATCACACCTGTGACTTTCAGTAAACATCTATCTCCCCACTACATTGCTATCTTTGTGAGGCCAGTGACCCTCTCTGTGTGGTTTATTGCTCTGTTCCCAGACCCTTGCACATGAAAGGTATTTGGCACCTAGTTAGCATGTAATAAATGTTTGTTGACTTCTCTTTAGTTCTAATTCCACTACTGTCTTCAGTTACTCTTTCCCACTGCTATCATTGGATGCATGTCTTTCTCTTTCCAGGGAGATGGTAGAATACTCTTCTTTTGGAATTTCACAGATTCTCATTGTCCTTTATCCTTCTTCCCTGAAGCTGCTTCTTGATGTTAATTTTCACCCAAATTGCTTATTTCTTTTTGTGGTGACTGAAACATCCATGTGTGAATGCAAGATCACTAGCCTGGAAGATGTGAAGCTTGAGTCTGAATTCTCCTATCACATTAGTTGGGCTTTTAACTCTGTGTAAATCATTTAGTCTGTCTGATTATGATTCCCCTACACCACAAAATGAGATGTATGGACCAGACTGAATCTGTGGGTTCCTCTGTAATGCCAATAAGCCATTTCGTGCACTTTAGGGATGAGAGAGCCCACTGCCTGGAGCACAGAAAAGAAAATGATTGAAAGGTAATCAAATGGAAATTCAACATATCTTCCTAGAGTGAATGTTAGATTTTAACCTGGAGAGGGCCAAGGAAAGGCTGTCTGTATCCTCCAACCTGCTCTCCTTCTTCCCTTTCCTCTCTGATTTGTAGCAGCCCTGGGCAGTTGTGGCTTAGAGAGAGAGCTGATGGTGGACCCACACATGAAACATTCTTTCACATGGGTAAGTGGCAAGCCAAGATACTCCTGTACGGCTACATGTGGAGGTTATTTGAGTGTGTGGGGGGGAGGATTGAGATGATTATTATTGCCTACCATCCATCCATTTGTATCTTTATTTACCTAATAGCCATATTAAAGAATGTTTAATATACAATTAGTGAAAGAGCATAAGATTTGGAATTAGGCTGGGGTTTAAAGTCTTGTTTCATCACTTTACTGTGTGTTTGTATGAGAGAAAGGGAGAGAGAAACCAAGGCAATTAATTTGATTTTTGAGTCACAGTTTCCTCCTCTACACATGTATGGTACTATGAGATAGAGTTAAGAATCTTAAAAGATAACATTGTAATACAAGTTATTTGTGTCAATTTAGCATGCCTTCCACTTCTTCCAATTATACCATTCTCCACTAGGGGAACTGCTCCCCACTACACAGATTATATCTGTGATATAAGAAGCTGCCAATCAAGTTTTAACTGGATGCTTTATAGAAGCTCACCTTCATTCTCCCTAAAGCAAGGGATCTGCAGGAAAACTGAGCCTAACAACAAAGTAGAGCTCGGATCTTTGAAACTGAAGCTATGGTGAGCCTTTCTGCTGGTGAAGGTGAGAACATTCAGACTCTGAAGCTTCCAGCAGTTGGGGTCCAGCTTCTCAAAGAATCCTGATTGCAGTAGAAGACATAGATAGTTGCTAGGTAATGGTTGGAGAAGAAGGATCCTAGTACCTTGAAATCTTTGGTTCTGGTCATTCCCAATTACTCTCTTGCTTTTCCTAGTCATATGAGTCAATACGTTTATCTTTTTGCCTAAGGCAGCTCAAATTGCATGCCTGCAATTTACATATCAAAGAGTCAAGACTAATAGAGTTGCATGCTATGGATACCAAGGGGATGGTAGTTCTCTTCTTCACACACATATGATCTTATTTTGTTTCATTTCAGGACAGGTGCAGGCATTATGGGTTGAAAAAAATCAAGAGCTTCTATATTCTGAATTTCACATTTTTAATAAATTAGTGACCTCTCCTTTTACATTGCCTCACAGCTTTAACTACTAATTCAAACAATACTTTTTATACTTTGGGACTTTAAAATTATAGCAGGTGTGGATACTTAAATATGCTAATATATACTATTGCCAGAGTGTAAAATTGCCACTGCATTTCTAGGTGCTGATTTTGTAATGAGTATCCAGGAGTTTTGTTTATACTCTTTTACTCATCAGTTCCACTTCTAATACTCTGTCCTGTGAAAACAAGCCTGTATGTGAACAATGGTATATGTGCCATGTTATTTATCGTAGCTTAATTTTTGAGGATGAAAAAATGAGACAGTTTAATGAATGTTCAAGTCTTAGGGTTATTTAAATTCTGTGAAGTTTTAAAAATATTTTTTGGAATATTTGATGACTGGAGAAAATTCTGATGATAAAATTTTCAGTGAAAAATAAAGAAGCCATAAAAGAATATATACAATAAAATTGTGTAATGAAATACATACACAACTATACAAAAGTATATATGTGTGTCTTTGGAACTATATAGTAAAATACCAAAAATTTTTCTTTCCTAGGCAATTAGATTATTAGTATATGGAACACATTGTGATTGACTGCCCAGCATCCATTCCATTATCTCACCTACCTCCATGCCATGTGCAGGAGCCATATGATTTGGTGAGACTGACCTTCTCCTTGAGTTCCATGGGTGGTCCATTGTTGAGTGAGGTCAATCAGAATGACTGATCTTTCCAGTTATGGTTATTAGGTTAGAGGTAAACACATAATTCAGGCTTGAGCCATTTAGTGCAAAGCATTAACTTGGCATTAATGTCTGGTTTACAGGTAGGTGTATAATGTTGTTTGATCCAATTAGAGAGTTGAAAAACTTTTAGTGGGGTAAGAGATACCCATTCTCTCTCCCTGACCATTGACGGGGAAAATTGAAGTTAGAAGAGATACTGGAAGAGATTTTGTGGCCAAAGGGAAATCTGGCCTTAAGGTGAACACAGAAGAGAGAGCAAAGGTGACATAAGAACTACCTGGTGGCATTGTAACATGTCTCTATCTTAATTTTAGAATGAGCTAACATATTCTTAAGCATTTAGACCAATGACATTAAGGTTTTCATTACATGAAAATAAAACAGACAAAAATTAAATAAAGTGATTTTCATTTTATTCTTTATGTTTCCCAGTATTTTTAAAGATTTTCTACACCAAACACATATTGCTTTTATAATTTAAAAAAGATTATTTATTTTAAAAAAGCATTTGATAAGGTACAGCACCCATTTATGATAAAAAACACTCAGCAAAGTGAGAATACAGGGAGCACTCCTCAACATAACAAAGGCCATATATGAAAAACATCATACTCAAGGAGTGAAAACTAAAATCTATCCCACTAAGATCAGGAATAAGAGAAGTGTTCACTTTCACCACTTCTATTCAACATAGTATTGGAAGTCCTAGCCACAGCTAAAAGGTAAGAAAAAAGGGATAAAAAAATATCCAAATTGGAAAGGAAGAAATAAAACTGTCATTGTTTGCAGATGACATGATAGTGTGCATAGAAAATCCTATAAACTCCACCAAAAAACTACTCAGACTAGTAAGTGAATTTGGCAAAACAGCAGGATACAAAGTCAATATTCAGAATTGAAGGCATTTCTGTAAACCAACAATGAAATATCAGAAACAGAAACTAGGAAAAAATTCCATTTGCTATAGCAACAAGAAAAATAAAATACCTAGGAATAAACCTAACCAAGGAGGTAAAAGACCAGTTCTCAGAAAACTATACAACTCTGAAGAAATAAATTAAGGAAGACACAAATTAATGGAAGCATATACCATGTTCACAGATTGGAAAGATGAACATCATCAAAATGTCCATACTATCCAAAGCAGTTCATAGATTCAATGCAATCACTATTAAAATACCAATTACTTATTTCACAGATGCAGGACAAACATTTCAAAAATTTATATGGAACCATAAATGACCCAAATAGCCACAGCATTTTTGAGAAAGAAGAACAAAGTTCTTCTGACAGAAACAGAAAAAAATTTTTTGAGAAAGAAGAACCATACTTGACATCAAACTACATTACAAGGCCACTGTAATCAAAACAGTCTGGTACTGGTATAAGAACAGACACATAGATCAATGGAACGGAATAGAGAGACCAGAAATAAGCCCAAGTTTCTATGGTTAGTTAATGTTTGACAAACGGGGCAGCAGCATAAGATAGAGTAAAAATAGCCTCTTTAACAAATGGTGATGGGAGATCTGGACAGCTACATGCAAAAAAATGAAACTCGACTGCCAACTTACACCATACACAAAAATAAGCTCAAGATGGATAAAAGACATAAATATAAGTCACAATACTATGAAAGGCCTAGAGGAGAACACAGGCATAAAAATCTCAGATATTCCACGCAGTAATATTTTCACTGATATGTCCCCTAGAGCAAGGGACATAAAGGAAAGAATAAACAAATGAGACTTCATTAAAATAAAAAGCTTCAGCATGGCTAAAGAAAACATCAGCAAAATGAAAAGGGAACCAACTGTATGGGAAAATACATTTGCTAATGATACCTCAGACAAGGGTTCAATCTTCAAAATATATAAAGAACTCACATGACTCCACTCCAGGAAAACAAACAATCTGATTAAAAAATGGGCAAAGGACCTGAACAGACACTTCTCCAAGGAGGACATACAGAGGGCTAATAGGCATATGAAAGGATTCTCAGCATCACTAGCCATCAGAGAGATGAAAATTAAAACCACAATGAGATACCACTTCACACTGGTCAGAATGGCCATCATAAACAAATCAACAAGCAGTAAGTGCTGGTGAGGTTGTGGAGAAAGGGGAACCCTAGTACACTGTTGGTGGGAATGCAAACTGGTATAGCAACTGGGGAAAAAATATGGAATTTCCTCAAAAAAAGTAAAAATGGAACTGCCTTTTGACCCAGCAATTCCACTGCTAGAATTATACTCTAAGAATCCTGAAACATTAATTCAAAAGTACCTATTCACTCCAATGTTCATAGCAGCACAATTTGCAATAACCAAGTGTTGGAAGCAACCTAGATGCCCATCAGTAAATGAGTTGATCGAAAACTATGGTATATTTACACAATAGAATACTATGCAGCAGAAAGAAAGAAGGAGCTCCTACCCTGCTCAACAGCATGGATTGAACTGGAGAACATTAGGCTAAGTGAAGTAAGACAGGCAGTGAAAGACAAACACCATGTGATCTCACCTATAAGTACAATCTAATCAACAAAACAAACAAGCAAGCAAAACAGAATCAGAAACACTGAAACAAAGAGCAAACTGACAGTAACCAGATGGGAGGGTGGCCGGGGGATAACAGGGGAAAGAAAGGAAAGGGTCGTCAAGAATCATGTATAAAGGACCCGTGGACAAAGCCAAAGCGGAGAAGGATTGAGGGTGAGAAGTGGGTGTGGGTAGGGCAGGGGAAAGTGGTGGCGGGAAAATGGAGACAACTGTACTTGAACAACAATAAAAATAATACTAAAATAAATAAAAATTAAAAATTAAAAAATTAACAGTCACAAGATCTATTAATGTGAATGTAGATGGGATCTGAATTATTCTCTTCATAAATATTAAAATAAAAAATTGAGAAAGTAAAAAAATTGCTACTAGTTTAAAACTAGCAAATAATCATTAAGTCAATGTGTGTTCTTCTCTCCTTACTCTCCACCTTCTGATCTTCCTTCAATTTTTCCTTCCCAATTCCCACAAGAGCCAGAGTAGCCAACAAAATGTCAAAATTTTGTCACTCCATTAATTAGGAGACTTGAATTGAGTGAGGCACAACCTACACCCTGTGAAATTGATTGGCAAGTGACTGGCAGAGCTACCCTCTTGCTAATGAGGCAATGACAGATACAAGGTTGATCACTACTGTTTATCACCATGTGGCTCATTCTGAACATATAGAAACCTGGGAGGATGCACAGAGAAACTGGTTATCTTATGCTGAATGAAGACATTCCAATGCTAGAATCTAGAACTCCTTTGTCTAACGTGGTAGTGAACCCCATGAGCAATGTGGATTGCAAAAACTAGAAGTAAATTTACCCTGGGCTTATATTCACATCTACTGAGTCATAGTCACATCAGATTGGATAGAACAAAAGGCGTGGTGCATTGGAGAAAAGGTACTTTTTCAGGGACATGAGCCAGAGGTAAATGGTGAGTGTAGAGTGACACTGTCCAGAATTCTATTGAGAAGGTGATTCAGAAATGGAACCAGAGAATAACAGGGAAGCTAGTGTCTAAGCATCTTTATGTTATCAAATAAACAGCTATAATAAATATAGTCTTTGGAAGAAGAATGCTTTCTGGCAGAATCTGCCTAATGATGGCACCCCATCCCTATTTCTCCACATACCCCCTTGCTCCTGGTTCCATATTATATGCACAATGGGACTGCCATTAACTAGGTGTGAAATCTTAGGCCAGCCACTTAACCTCCCAGTCCTTGAGTTTTCTCACCTGTAAAAAGGGCTGAATCAACCCAGACCTCTAAAAATTCCACAGTTTGAACAATTGGTCCATCCATCTGCCCATTTGCACGAACAGCCAATGAGGAGAGCCTTGGAAGACTGCGCACTCTGGAGTCAAGTGTTGATTCCCTGCTAGTGAGGAAGGCATCCTCCCAAAGTGGCGCTCTCAGGAAGGCAGGGGGTTTTCAAGCCAGAGCTGCTCTCCTTGCAGCTGCTCTGCAGAGGGGAAAAAAACCTGGATTTTAAAGAAGCAAATGGTCTTTTTTTTTTTTTAAACAAAATTAACTCACAGCTGCATGCAGCACAATGAAAGCACATTTTAAAATAATCAGATGCTTTTGGGGCTTCCTTCTGCTGCCAGAACAACTTCAGTCGGAGCTGCTGCCGGCTGCCTTTCAAGGCTGCAGCCTCCAGGCGCCGACTGTCCAGGGGTGAAGTGAGGCCTAAAGCTGTAGATGTCAGAAAAGAGGCCTAAAGTTTTATGATTTCGGGGCCCTAAAGGCCTCAGCTGTTTCTTTGTTTGTTCTGTTCTAATTAGAATGCATTACATATTTTTGAAAGGCATCTGACAGCTAATAGGTTCCGTTTAAAGGGTTATTTCATTAAACACTTTAAGAAAATACTTAGTGATCTTTTAAATTCCATTTAATTAACTAGTTTTTATTTTATATAACAGTAATAAAATGTGAGCTCATGCAGTTGCTGAAAGGTGCTTGATATGACCGAAGTGTAGTGTCATGCTAGTTTCTGAATTTCCACCTACTCTCAGTGCATCAAGTTTTAGGTAAAGATGCCATGTAGTTAGAAGCTGTTGTTAAAAATACTCCACTGTACTATGGTGTATCTGCATGTGAATTTCTGCATGTTGTTCAGGCTGCTAAGTTGACTTTAGAAGAAAAAGATATAACAGAACTGAACATTTTGAGAAAAGCCTACTCATGTGCTTAACACACAAGAGAAGCCAATTTGGTCTAAAAGAATTAAGATTCCTCATCATGAGGAACTGAATGCTAAGAATCAATCACCCTAATTGCTAGGGTTGGACACAGGGACTTAAAGTCAGGGCAAATCTTTCTGAGCCTCCTGTTAGTGATGTAACCCTGAGCAAGACCCTGTGTCTCCCCAGATTTCTTACCTGCACAGCACAGAGTATTGTTACCTTACCTAATGTCGTGAGGACTCTAGAGGAGTGCATCTGTATAGTGAGCGTCCTCTCTGCTTATGCTAGAGTCTAGCCTGATGAACATTTATTGAGCATCTACTGTGTTTTCAATAAATGTTTCCTTTCCTTTATTTTAAAGTGCCAATTTAGCTATCAAATCTCAGGATAAAAGGGTTTAACATCTTCTAAAGATTGAAAAAATAAACCTAGGAGAATGAAAAACAATATTGGGTAGAAAAAGAATGAGCTGTTTCACTTCAAGATTGGAAATATCACTAAGTTCAAAAAAAGTTTTTACATAAATTAAGTGATGTTCTATATTTAACAGGCTTAAAAGATAACTGGAAAAATAATTTGAAATGGACCTAATCTCTTGAGATTGCTGTTCTAAAAGTAAACTATGCTTTTATATTAGGATCAGAAACCTGGCTATGATTGAAAGATGATTCCTTTTTTTCATTGTAATTAATAATGATAATGCTATCTTATTTTGGATTTTGAAGATAAGCAGCCTATTATTGTTGTAATGTATAATACTGAGTAGGACAACAAGATGTTGTTAATGCCTAAGCCTGTCTTTCTTTAATTTGACAATAATAACAGCAATGATAGTAATAATGTCAAAGCTATTCTAAGCTCTGGGCTCATAGTTTACTAATACTTATAAATGGGAGTTACTATTTCTTATCTTTTTTTACACTCGAGGAAACTGAAACACAAGAGGTTAGGTGACTTGTCCCAGGTCACAAAACTGAATGGTAGAGGCAGAATTTGAAGAGAGGCCATTGTCTGTAGGGTCCATAATTAAAATTAACCCACTTAGTATGTAATCATTTTTAAAATTTTGAGTCGTATCATCATAAGTTATCTTGAAACACAATACACTATCTTAAATACCTAAAATCTGGGCTATGTATAATAGGTGGAAAAATATTTTCTTTGAAGTTCACAGTGTTGTTTGTAATTGGTATCTAGATGTTGTTCCTCTCTAGAGGAAGGTCTATTTAGGAATTTAGTATAGTCTTCCATTAAGCATATGAGCTTATAAACACAGTATTTTTTATTGTGATGTAGCTGTTTGATTTCTTTGTAAGTTGGAAGAAAGTTCATCATCATGTTACAATGTGACAGTCAGGCCTATATCAAAACCCCTTCCCTGCGAATATGTCAGTTACAACGTGAGCACTGTACAGGTGCAATTTCAGGGGAATAACAACAATTTCCCTTCAACAAATATTTATCCTTGTCTTCTGGATGCTTAAGGGCTAATGAGTCATGCCACTTAAATATCGAAAAAACAAAGAAAGAGAAGATTGAGGAAAATATGCCTAAGTATGTTATAACTATAATTCAAGAAACTAGTTTATTCTTAAATACCTTTCAAATGTATTTCCCCTACCGAGCTCTGGACCTCCACCTCCTCAGTCCCGACTCGGACTCGTATCAGTTGCTCCTACAGCACCGAAAGAGCCTCCCCTGGCTCTATTCCTCCGATGCCCTTCCTTCCACCCCATTTTCCACCCCCTCTCCCAGTGACCTTGCCGAAACAGAAGACTGCCCCCATTGCTGTTCTTCTGAGAACCCTCTGCTGAGTCTTCACATCACTTACTGTAGCCTGAACTCCTAAGGATGACATATAAGGCCTCCACACAGTCCTCTACCTAGTTTTCCAGCCTCTTCTTCCCTGATATGCTGTGCCCTTCATGCTTTGCTCTTTTAAGCATGTAGAATGTCTTTCCAGCTCTTGTCGTCTGGGAGAAGTCCTAGGAATTTTTTTCTTTTGTGGGATTTCTTTCAGACTAAATTTAACCATCACCTCATTGGAGAGCCATTCTTTGGCCACCTCCTTACTTGCCCCTTAGAAATAATTCTCTCATCTCTGCAGTCCCGTAACACTTACACAAACCTTTGTCATAGCCCTTTCTGTGCTCTTGTATAATTCTTTGACTACATGTCAGTCTTCCTCACTGTGAGGTAAGGACTGAGTCTGCACACTCTGTCTGCGGTGTCTAACACCGGCCTGACATGGAAAGGGTGTTTGAAAATGGTTGTCGATGGAAGAATGTATGCATACGTGAATGACGAAACAAGCTATATTGCTCAAGTAAAAGGAGAATTTTGGAAGTTTTCTCTAAGTTTCTTTATTGAACTTACATATCAGTTCAGTTGGTCTAGGGAATATGATGTGGACTAGATGGCACAGAGTCTTGGGCAGAGTTCCAGACTGTCACTACTTAGCTAGCCTTGCAGCCTTGGACACATTGCTTACCTTATCGGTGCCTCAGTGTCTGCAGCAAAAAGATAGGGATACAGTTAGCTAACACCCCCAAGGTTGCCATTAGGATCAAATAAAAATAATTCATAGTCAAAATGCTTTTGAAAAATACGAATAACTGATTTCAGCAAAGCTTCTTATGACCAAACCTCTTATATCTAATTCCACAGAGACATAACACCACTCACGGTATCTGCTTGTCCTCCCTTCAGTTGCTCTGGGTTATTGGAGAGGCTCTAGAAGGTTAGTGTTAGCAGGTCAGTGTGCTCACAAGCAGAACCTAGAATTGCAAAGAGATTGTTAGAACATAGTTTACAACATCTTCTGTATAAGAAGACCATGTCTTTGTTAGACCATCAAAATCAAAGGCATAATTTGAAATGACGAACACATCCATTTTCAGTTACATGTCACTTTGCATGGTTAATATCACTGTAATTAGTCATAGTTCCTATCATTTATTGAAGAAGATGCTCCTCCCTTAGAGTGCTGGGAGAATAACTTTGGAAGCTGGAATCAAGAAAATGAGTAACAGTTGGAGAATCAGTTTGTATATCGATAAACCTTTCTTCTTCATTTCAACACCAGGATTTTTAGGGCACACTGCAAAATCAGAGTGCTCCCACAAGTCTGAGCTGTCGTGGTACCCCACAGAACTAGGCAGGCCATTTCAACTGGGGGGAAGGTTTAAAACCCTCTCAAACATTCAAGTAAATCTCTAGTAAATATTTAAACTCTGAATAACTAGTCACAAATAAATTAAGCTGATTTTATGCAGTCTCTCTAATTAGAAGGGCACAGCATTTGTTGAAACGTGATTAGTATTATTCATTAAGCAAAAAATTCTCATTTGTATCTTATTATCACTATTCTGCATAAACCAACACAATTTGTCATGAACTCCCTCATTTGCTGTATCCTCAAAAAGCAGATTATGCTTATTTTTCATTTGGACAGTGGAAAATCAAGCCAGGTGTTTGGCAGCACCGGAGTGTTCAGGTGTAACTGTGCCAGTGATGGAACATTACGAGCAGCGTGGATGAAGAATGAGGCATGGAGAATCCTGGGACCGAGGTGCCTTGGGGCCCATCCCTTCCGAGCGCCCCTGCTGATGAGACAGGTGTTGCACCGGGCTGCTGTGAGGGGAGAGGGAAACTGAAAAGAAACTTTTTTGTAATGTCAGATCTTTCCCCTTCCATCAGAACCTGACAACGCTCACTTGGATTCCTGCTGCATTTGAACTGCGAGCATGTGCGATGCAAAACCACCACAGCAGGATCTGGGTTTGAAATATTTTCAAAGCATAAAAATTCAACTCCATGATTTGTCTAGAACTGTCTGTTTGTCTAGACACATAAGCACGGTACACATTTAGCTTTTCAGCCTTACAGATATTGACAGATAAGACAAAGTCTGTGTTATATTACCTGGGTGAAAGGGGAACTCCCGGCTGCTTTTCCTCCTCTGCAATCTATTCATTTTGTCTTTAAAAATCTTCTTTGTTCTCTCACTCAGGTTAGAGACTCCATTAATGCTTGTGACTGCAGCTGCTTTATGACTCTGGCAGAAATAGGGACGTGAATGAGGTAAGGTCTATAAAATAGTGGCGTGATGATAGGAAATTATTTTTTTAAGGTAACAGTGCACTTAAATGTGCTACTTCGAATCCTGTCTATTCTTTTGGAACTTGAGAGCTATGAAGGACTATATACTATTCACGCCTTCCAAGTGTGTCAGTTTCTGTTTTTCATCTCTCTATTCCTTTTTCTTACTTCACTGTCCTCTCTTGCTTGTATAAACACTGCCTTTCCCAGGCCTTTCTTCCACTATTTCTAATGTGGTTGATTTTCTGAGTAGTGTGGGAAAAATATCTAACAAGACAATATGGGAGAGAATGGTATTAATAATATCCTTTTGTCATTTTGAAACCAGGATTTTCACTAACAATATGTACAGCAAAGGAGCCAGTTATGATGGTGGTCTTCAAATGTTGACTGGATACCCAAGGTCAGGTTAGCACCACGGTGTGGCTGCAAACACCATGCAAAAGCAAGCAGTTAGGGGCAACAGGGAGGCAGATGATGGCTCTGCCTGAAGAAGCAATCTCTAACACAGCTGTCCAGACATGGAATAGTCTGGCTTGTGGGGTGGTGAGCTCCCCACCACTGAAAGCAGTAAAGTAGTATTTGGGGTCAGAGCTTGAACTATATGAGTTCCAAGTTATTTTTTTCTATCACTAATATTGATGATTCTCTTTTTTAGAAAGGCTGTGCTCAACTGCCTTCAAACAAACTCAGAGGATCCCCATGATGATAGAATTTCAGAATTCTTGCTTTTCTTTGTCTTACATTTTCTGAATCCTGCAAAGCTGCTCGGTTACCTGCTACCACACATTACCTGGCAAAGTTTGGTTAACACCTGGGGTGCCTGGTCATGCTGCGAGAACAGTATGATGCATGGCACTTATAACTGTAGTTTGAGGGTAGCCTTGTCAAGATTGCACACGGGCAGACCGGCAGACTCCTGTGCACTGCTGTGTAGCCGGTGCATAGCTACAAAGTTAATGGCCCATCTAGAAGTCATCCTTTGCTTTCACGGCATTGCCTTGTCATCACCCTGAGTGAGGACTTGTCCAAATGCAGGCGGTGGGGATCGAATTTTGGATATAAATAGTTTATTCACTTGAGAGAATTTTACGAAGTTAAAAAATGTTTAAGAATGTATCAGTGTGAAGTGGAATTAATTACAAATGAAAGGAGGAAATATATTATCCTCTTAAGTAGAAAATGAATTATGAACCTAGTTTATTGGATAGATGGAATAGGAAATTGTTGGACACGATTTTTAAAATTGTGCTCAGAGACCACTTACTTGTTGAAATACAGATTTCTGGGTTATGGCCCAAATCTATTACAGTATATATGTACACACACACACACACACACACACACACACACACACACACACACTATGGCTGTGTAACAAATTACCACTGATTTAGAAGTATAAAACAATATCAATTTATTATCTCATAGTTCTGATGGTCACAAATCTATGCAGGCTGGGCTAGGTTCTCTGTCTAAGGTGTCATGAGGCTGATATTAGGGTCTCACTAGGTTAGGTTCTTCTTTAGAAGCTCTGGGGGAAAAGCCAGTTCCAAGATCATTCAGGTTGTTGGGAAACTTCAGTTCCTGGCTGGATGTCAGCTTGGGCTGGTTCTCTGTGCCTGAAGGCCACCCATATTTCTTCACATGCCCCTTTCAATTGTCATACCAGCAAAGGGTGGATAGTCCCTCTCATGGCTGGACTCACCCCTTCTTCTCTCTGTAACATGTCAGTGCAAACTCTCTGCCTCTAGAGGGTCATGTGATTAGAGTAGACCTAGCCAGATAATCTCCATATTTTAAGGTGCACTGACTTGAGACTTTAATTACATGTGCAGACTCCCTTCTCAGCAGTATCTCAATTAGTGTTTGATAAAATAAACAGGGTACGGGGTCTTGGGGGCCTATCTGTAGAATTCTGTATACCATACCTACTAAGTTAATGTCTCTTCAGTGGAGCCAGTAATATCTGTTTTTTAGACAACAGTCCAAGTGTTTCTTTATTTTTTAAAAAGATTTCATTTATTCATTTTTAGAAAGGGGAAGGGAGGGAGAAAGAGGAAATATCAATGCATCATTGCTTCTTGAGTGCCCCCTACGGGGGACCTGGCATGCAACCCAAGCATGTGCCCTGACTGGGAATCAAACCAGCGACCCTTTGGTTCACAGGCACTCAATCCACTGAGTCACCCCGGCCAGGGCAGTCCAAGTGTTTCTGGTGAATAATTAACTTTGAGAAATATTGGCTTAGAAGGAAAATAAGAAAAGCAGTGAATGTTAGGTCTTGGGTAAGTGATGTATAAAACAACTGTTACAAGAATTTAGGATGAGGGACTGGAGATGCCAATAGTTGCAGAGATGTTCATGGAAAACAGAACAGTGTAGGCTTTCCAGGCAGGCAAGAAGGCATGGCTAGAGGTTTGAATATGGAAAAACATATAACTGGGCTTTCTGAGTACAATGAAATTGAACCTGGTTGGAGTGGAGGTGTGCAACTGTGATTTGGGGGAGAACTTATGGGGTTGGGATTATATTATACAGGAACTTGATTGCCAGTTCAAAGAGCTGAATTAAAGGAAAGCCATGGAAAGTTTTTAAGAATAATCATTTCAAAAGCAATGTGATTTTATTCATTTTACCCTTTATACATACTAAATTTCTCTGCAGTTGAGGGTTATATTTTGATTTGCTTTCAGCAAAGTCCTGGTTGCATTCCAAGGATAGCCAAAGATTTTTATTATTTTTATTTATGGGGGAGGGGGGAAGAAGGAGATCTTGAAGTAGTAAGAAACAAACTTGACATATGGGAAAGGGTAAGATGACCTCAGGCTAAACTCTCTGAGGGAGAGTGAGGGCAACAATCTGAGTTTTCTTTTACAAGTAACTTTCTATATATGCTGATCCCTGAAAGTCCTCCATTCACCATTCTTCAGGTAAAAAATGTATTCAAAAGACCATATACCCCAAATGGGGGGCTCTGGGGGGAGGATTATTAGTCACAACATAGTCATTAGAATTGAAAGATGAGAGTCAGTTTTGTTGCTTGAGAAAGAAGGCAAACTACCTTGGAGCCAGGTTCAATAGCTTTGAATATCAGATGAAGACTGCAGATAACAGGAGGGTATCATCTGACAAGCATCTTAAGCAGATGGATGACAGAGTGGGTGCACTGGAGAGTGTTGTTAATTTAATGACCCCAGATAATGGTTCTTTAAATTTAAAAGAAAGTCATTGAGAAACAGCCAGCAAAGCTGTAACTTGTGCATTTCTGGCCTCCTGGTAGATCTAGATGGGAAAGGGGAGGGACATATGTGGTTCTGAGTTCTGAAAAACTCAAATTGCTCCCCAGATTACATTATTTTAGTGGCAATTATAGATATTGTGTTTAAATGAATGATAGAAAAGGTTATCTAGGCCCTTCTTTCCCTACCCCTGATAGGAAATTCTCCTGAATTTCTGTATCATTGAACCACAAAGTTTAGCCCTTAGTGGTGATTTATTTAGGCTCATAGACTATAGAACTTTAGGAACTCTGAACCCTTAAAGCTCACCTAATACCATTATGTCTTAATTATTTTATTTATTCATTTAACCATCAAGAATAACTGGTTCATGCTGTGTGAGACACTAGGAATGTAAAGGTGAACCAAACATATCTCTGTCTTAGAACTCACACTCTTCTCTAGGAAGCAGATAACAAAGCAGGGTTCTGCTTTGAGCTAAACCTCTACTGTTACCTAGCAGCATGAGACTTATAGAGCTAGTGAGAGGAGGGGTTAGTCAGGACCCTACCCCTTCACCAGTGATATTGGGGCCCAGGAAGAAGTTGAGGCTCCACCCTGGAATCAGTGAGACTGAATAAGGTGGAGTGAGTTGATGTTAGTCAGTCCCACGCTAGTAGATTAGAGACGATAGAGGCTAGAATCAGTAAACTTGAAATGAATAGAATTTATAGAATCTGAAAAACAGGAAATGACTTAAAAAAGGAGAGAAGAAAGAGAACGTATGTTGGGAAAATTTTTGTAGAAATAATGCCTGAAGATTTCTTAATTTTGATGAAGACAATCTACATATTTAAGAATCTGAGCAAATGTTAGGTGGAATAAACCCAAAGAAATATATGCCAAGATACATTAAAACTAAACTTTGAAACAAATACAAAAAAATCTTTAAAGTAACTAGAGAGATATGACATATTACTTATCAGTTGTACCAAACATCAATTTGAGTTGAACATCAATATAAATGTTAGTGAATTTCTCATCTGAAACCCAGAAAACCAGAACAAAATGGCACAGAATTTTTAAATGGCGCAGAAATTCTAAAAGAAAAGAATATTCAAATCAAAATTTTATATCTAGCAAAAATATCCTTCAGAAATGAAGACAAAATCAATACATTTTCTGAAAAAGGAAAATTAATAATTTGTTGCTAGAAAAATGTCTACTTAAGGAATGGCTAAGGAGGTTCTCTAAACAGGAAATTAAAGCAGAAGCAGATTTGGAATTTAAGAAAGGAAAGAACATCAGAATAAATAAAAATCACATAATAAACTGTTCTCATGATTTTCTTAAATGATATTTGATGGTTGAAGCAAAAACTAATTCATCTTCTGATGTGTACTTAATGCTTATATAAGAAATAGTTAAGATTGCATTTAAAAATGGAAACAATAAGTTGGTCTAAACAGAAATGATGTTTCTACACTTCACTTGAAGTGAGAAAACATTAAGCTGTGGTCAGTTATAGTTTGGAATGGGAAAAATATGCTTCCTGAAACCAGAAATCTACTCATTAACCAGAATACACTCAGCATACTGTACACTGATAGAAATGCCATTTTTACTGTATACACACACACTAGGTTATTTCAGTACTTTTGATTGCATCGGGTCAGAGAGACCTCCTTTGGTACACAGGCTGGAGGTGGGAGTAGAAGCCCTGGGGCTTGAAAAACATGGATAAGTTCCTAAACCTGAATT